GGGTGATAGATATAGGACAGATGTCAGAGGTAGGTTCTTTACTCAGAGAGTAGTAAGGGCGTGGAATGCCCTGCCTGCAAAAATAGTAGACTCGCCCACTTTAAGGGCATTTAAATGGTCATTGGATAAACATATGGATGATAATGGAATAGTTTCGGTTAGATGGGCTTCAGACTGGTTTCACAGGTCGGCGCAACATCGAGGGCCGAAGGGCCTGTACTGCGCTGTAATGTTCTATGTTCTATGTTCTACCTCCACCTTAGGAAAAAGTCTCTGGCTGTCTACTCTATCTATACCTCTGATTATTTTGTTCACCTCTATCAAGTCACCTCTCATCCTTTGTCATTCTAAAGAGAAAAGCCCTAGCTCTCTCAACCTTTCCTCGTAAGACCTTCCCTCCATTCCAGGCAACATCCTGGTAAATCTCCTCTGCACCTTTTCCAACGCTTCCACATCTTTCCTGTAATGAGGTGACCAGAACTAGACACAATACTCCAGATGTGGCCGAACCAGGCTTTTGTATAGCTGGGGCATAACTTCACGGCTCTTGAACTCAATCCCTCTATTAATGAAAGCTAATACACCATACGCCTTCCTAACAACTCTATCCACCTGGGTGGCAGCTTTCAGGGAACTGTGAACATGAACCCCAAGATGCCCCTGCTCCTCCACACTGCCAAGAATCTTCCCGTTAACCTTGTATTCTGCTTTCAAGTTTGTCCTTCCAAAATGAATCACCTCACACTTTTCAGGGTTAAACTCCATCTGCCACTTCTCAGCCCAGCTCTGCATTCTATCAATGTCCCTTTGTAACCTAGAACAGCCCTCCGCAATGTCCACAACGTGACCCATCTTCGTATCATCTGTGAACTTGCTAATCCACCCTTCCACTCCTTCATCCAAATCATTTACAAAAATCACAAAGAGGACCCAGAACAGATCCTTGTGGTACACCACTCGTAACTGAGCACCATGCTGAATATTTTCAGTCCATTACCGCCCTTTGTCTTCTAAGGGTCAGCCAATTCTGAAATCCAATCTGCCACATTTCCCCCTAACCCATGCCTCCTTACCTTCTGCATGAGCCTACCATGGGGAACCTTATCAAACACCTTACTTAAATCCATGTATACCACATCCACTGCTCCACCTTCATCCACGTGTTTGGTCACCTCTTCAAAGAATTCAATAAGGTTTGTGAGGCATGATCTACCCCTCACAAATCCATGCTGACTATCACGAATCAAACTGTGCCTTTCTAAGTGATCATAAATCCTGTCTCTCAGAGCCCTTTCGAATAATTTGCCCACCACTGACGTAAGACTAACTGGTCTCTAATTTACGGGGTTATCCCTGTTCCCTTTTTTGAACAAGGGAATGACGTTTGCCTCTTTCCAATCTTCCGGCACTATACCCATGGACAGTGAGGACAAAAAGATCATCGCCAAAGGCCCTGCGATCTCATTCCTCGCTTCCCATAGAATCCTTGGATAAATCCCATCAGGCCTGGGGGACTTATCTATGTTCGACTTCCTCAGAATTCCTAGCACATCTTCTTTAGTAACATCAACCTCCTCTAGCCTACCTGCCTGTTTCACAATGTCCTCCTCTACAACTAGGTCCCTCTCAGTTGTGAATACTGAAGAAAAGTATTCATTAAGGACCTCTCCTATCTTTTTAGGCTCTGTGCACAAATTCCCTTTATAATCCTTGATCTGCCCTACCCTTTCTCTGGTCATTCTCTTGTTCTGCACATACGTGTAAAAAGTCTTGGAGTTTTCCTTGATCCTATCCGCCAAGGTTTTCTCATGCCCCCTTATAACTCTCCTAAGCCCTTTCTTCAGCTCCTTCCTGGCTAACTTGTATCCCTCTATAGCCTTTTCCATTCCTCTTTTCCTAAACCTTACATAAGCATAATGCAACAAATAGAATTTAGATTGTTAAGACTTGTGGACAAAGTAGATAAAATGAACCACATTTTTGTCATTGGAAGAGAGACTGTCAATGAAGTGATCATCTTTCATCAGTCAGATTATGTTTTTATTATTTTTCACACCAATTTGCCAAACTCATTATTGCAGATCAGCAAGTTATGAACTTGTTACTCACAAATGACAGAAAAAAAACTGCACCAATGAGGGTTTGAAGTTTGAGATTCAAAATTACAGTCCTCCAGGTTTTCTGCATTCATTGAATTCCGGTCTCTGATCTCTAATACCTGATTATTGGTGGCCATGCTTTCAACTTCTCTACGTTCTGAAATCCCTGCCTAAAGAGGTGGTATGAATGGTGTTATGATATAGACAGACAGCTGAACTAAATTAGCCTTCCCACCTCTGTATTCGCAATACAGTAAAATTTAAACCCTCAAAGACCCTCAAAATTGACCTCAATGGTTCCTAACCAGATATTTGAATGACCAATCCCAGACTCTGAATAATCAATTCCAGACACAGGTTTGTGTCTTAAACAAAAGACGTAGCAATTTATTAACAGAGGAAAATTAAACAACAATGTAATCTAATTGGTCTATACTGTAAACCAAAAACCTTTGTTTCTGGCCCATCCACACAAAAGACAGACTAAAACTGGTTCAGTGACAAAGGATGGATGGATATTTCTCAGACTTGGACATCATTTGTAATGGTATTTCCAAGGGGCAGCTTCAGATCCATTAATCGTTTCAATTTTTATAAACAAAATTTAGTCTGGTCGAGTAGGCAATGCTATAGGTTTTGTAGAACCCTGGCAAACTAGATAGTAATAAGTAACGAGGCTTCAGGATGATTCTAGGGATGTGGAATTTCAGTTACAAGTGAAAGTCAAGTCTCTTCTCTTTGAAACTGCTTAGTTTCAAAGGTGAATTAATAGAGGGTTTCAAAATGATGAGAGTTTTTGATAGTAGAACATCAAGAAAAAAACTATTTTGTCCAGGAGACGGACAATCTGCATCATAGATTCCCAATCATTGGCACAAGATCAAGAGGGGAGATAAGACATGTTTTCAGTTAGAGAATTGTTAGGATCTGGAAAGGTATGGCTGAATTAGTGGTAGAAGTTAGTTACATAAATATTTTCCATTGCTGAAAATAGATCCTTTTTGAAACTTTCATCTTGCACGCAACAGGACAACTTGCAAGAAATATCAATGCATGAAAATAAAGATCATATCAAACAGAATTTCCCACCCGCTGTTTGGTACTGCTACAAGGAACTTGAAAAACTCAAAACACTGCTCATTCTGCGATATGGTTCTGTGAATGGACAATATTTACTGAACAATTCAGAGTGTGCTAAGAATTATGCTCACAACCAATTTCAGATTCTCAGCCTCACAGTGTGGTGCATAAGTGCATATAAGAAGTTACATAAATTAATACACAACTTTATGTTTGCAGACAGAAGCAACATGTACACATAGCACACCTATTTGAACTCAACAAAAACAGAGGATGGCCTCTCTCTGGTTTATTTCACAAGACAATACCTTGACCAACCTGCATAGTTTACTGTTAATCATCATCCAACTGGTGCACTCTTCATGTCAATACCTCTACCAATCAGTACTCTCTTCTCATACAGTATAAAGAGCTTGTTTTCATTTTACATTTAACATCATGTGAAATACCCTAAAAAGATGGAGTTCAATCTGGATAAATGCGAGGTATTGCATTTTGGTATAACAAAGGGTAGGGCTTAAACAATTAATGGTAGGGCCTTGGATAGTGTTTGAGAAGAGGGACCTATGGGTGCAGGTACTTAATTTCTTTGAAGTTTGCGTCACATATACATAGGGTGGTTAAAAAGGCATTTGGCATGCTTGCCTTCATTGCTCAGTCCTTTGAGTATAGGAGTTGGGAAGTCATGTTGAGTTGTACAGGACATTGGTGAGCCCCCTTCTGAAATTCTGTGTCCAGTTCTGGTCGTCCAGTTATAGGAAAGATATTATCAAGCTGGAGAGGGTTCAGAAGATGTTGCCGGGTATGGAAGGTTTGAGTTATAAAGAAAGGCTGGATAGGCCGGGACTTATTTTTCACTGGAGTATAGGAGGTTGTGGCGCGACCTGATAGAAGTTTATAATGAGGGGTATAGATAGAGTTAATGGTAGTTGTCTTTTCCCTAGGATGGGGGATTTCAAGACTAAGGGGCACATTGTTAAGGTGAAAGAGAAATTTTAAAAAAACATGAGAGGCAAATTTTTTTTACACAGAGGGTGGTTCGTGTGTGGAATGAACTTCCTGAGGAAGTGGTGGATGTGGGTACAATTACAATGTTTAAAAGACATTTGGATAGATATGTGAATAGGAAAGATTTGGAAGAATATGGGCCAGGAGCAGGCAGATGCGACTAGTTTAGTTTGGGATTATGTTCGGCATGGGCAAAGGGTCTGTTTCTGTGCTGTATGACTCTAAATGCAAGATGAAAAGTTTTGACAAACTGGATATATTTTCAACAATGCTTAAGTTCTGCACAGTAAGTGGATTGATTATTTTTAAAGGGAGTTATGAAGGCATATGATGATGAGGAACTTTTGGATTTATGTGAAAAATCAAAGGTATAAGTACAAAGTAAATGTGTGCTAAGAGATAACAGGACTGATCAGCCAAAAGGCTTCCTTCTGTGCTATTTAACATAACATAATGTCAAAATTAGTCTCAATAGTTCAGTCAATCCATGGAGAATCCCCCCAAGGAAAATGGTGGAAACATTGATTGAATCAAATGCATATTGGACATTTATTAACAAAAAACAAAGTTAATGGAGTAATTGGGGACACAACATAACATACTTGGGAGACAAAATTGGCTTTTGCATTATAGCTCCCAAAGGTAGTCCTCACTAGGATTTTTCTTGTTATTTTTGAATGTGTTTACCATGATTGTTCAGTAATGCCATTTTCATTGTATCATGTGACTGCCAGGTTGAAAATGAATGAGATGGACCTTGGTCCATTTCTATGTTTCTGGCTTTTTGAATGACTATAATGAAAAACACAAACGTAAGGGGAAAAAATACATTTATTTCATATACAAAAATGCACAGAAGTTACAACTTGTGAACAAGCTTTTAGATCAAACCAGTCCATGCTATCTTTTACACTCCATATGGGCAAATATTTGAATTATATTTAACCAATGTATTCTTGTATCCCTTTGCAATGACGAGTGGAGTACCGCAAGGGCTCAGTACTGAGACCCAAGATGTTCACAATATATATTAACAATTTGGAAAAAGGAATTGAATGCAATATCTCCAAGTTTGCAGATGACACTAGGCTGGGTGGCAGTGTGTGCTGTGAGGAGGATGCTAAGAGGCTATAGGGTGATTTGGACAAGTTGGCTGAATGAGCAAATACTTCACAAATGCAATTTTATGTGGATAAATGTGAGGTTATTCACTTTGGTGACAAAAACGGGAAGGCAGATTATTATCTGAGTGGAGGTAGTAATGGTTGAACATTCACTGAAGATTGGCAGGTGCAGCAGGTGGTGAGGAAAGCTAATGGAATGTTGGTCTTCATAGCTAGAGGATTGGAGTATAGGAGTAAGGATGTCTTGCTGCAGTTATACAGGGCCTTGGTGAGGTCACACCTTGTGTACTGTTTGTAGTTTTGGTCTCCTACTTTGAGGAAGGACATTCTTGCTACTGAGAGAGTCCAGCTAAGGTTCATTAGACTCATTCCTAGGATAGCAGGACTGACATATGAAGAAAGACCGGATTGACTGGGCTTGTACTCACTGGAATTTAGAAGAATGAGTGGGGGGGTGATCTCATGGAAACATACAAAATCCTGATTGGACTAGACAGGCTAGATGTGGGAGGAATGTTTCCGATGTTGGGGAAGTCCAGAACTAGGAATCACAGTCTAAGAATAAGGGGTAAGCCATTCGGGAGTGAAGTGAAGTAGAATTCCTTCATTCTGAATTGTGAACCTGTGGAATTCTCTCCCACAGGAAGCTGTTGGGGCCAGTTTGTTAGATATATTCAAGAGGAAACTGGACCCAACCCTTGTGGCTAAAAGGATCAAGGGGTATGAAAGAAAGTGGGAGTGGGATACTGAAATTGCATGATCAGCCATGATCATATTGAATGGTGGTACAGGCTCAAAGGCCTACTCTTGCACCAATTTTCTATGTTTCTAGGTTTCAAAGTTGAAATCATTTTTCTTTGCCCATCTATATATTTCTACCTCAACCACTAACCATTGAAGCAAATTCGACATCCTCAAATCTGATGTGATTATAATATACCCTGACGACATTCAGCTAAATTACCCATTTAGAGGAAACATATGTATTTGTTTATCCATCCAACCATCACAGATAGTGAAACTTGTCTTCACAAAGTTTTTAATCTTTTCCTTCAATATATTTAATAGGGTCAGAGTACTGTCCAGGTTTGCCCCAGTAATCCACTGCACGAATACGATAGAAACCAGACACCTGTGAAAGTTCTGTTGAAGAAAGAAAGGAAAACATATTAGACACCAAAATTCCTGTATATTGAACATATTTAAGCCTAGAACATTGGTGGGCCACGGTCTGGACACTAATTCTGCCAGGATTCTTCTCCATTTAAACCAAACAGCTGAATTCTTCTTGAGAAAGAATCTGTCTGTATAAGAGATCAATAACTTTTCTCATAGAGCAGAGCAATGCAAATTACTTCCTGTTGCTAACCAGGAGATACAAGCTAGGATCCAAGAGCCAGGCCCCTAGAAGATCCACTGTAATTACCTGAACAGCCTTGGGTGATGCTGTTCTTTCCCTGCTTTGAGGCTGTTGTGGTTGCAGCAGTTGACAGATTTCAAAACATTTGGTCCTTGCTAAGGTTGAAGAAAGAAAATTGCTCCCTAAAATCCCTGGGGTTATGGTCTCCTTTAGAATAATTCTCTTCCCACCTTTTCTTCCTTCTTATCATATTCAATTCCTAGTGGAAGGCCTACAAGGCCACCCATACACAGAAGCAACTTTTTCTCAGCTGAGGTTTTTAAAATGAAAAACTAAGTACTTTAGCACTAGCCAGGCCGCTCTCAGTAGACTACTGAAACTTTAGCTAAATATAAAGAAGTTCCAAATATACACTGGATTGAATTTTATGTGGGAGGAAGGAATGTAAAGGTTGGAGGCAAGCCATAGTGGATGCACCTTTAGTTGGTTTTGAGATAAACCACTACCCCTATCGATAGTACATTCCCCGTCAAAGTAGTAGGTCAATCAAATAACTGGCAGTTCCTTTGTACAACCAGTGCCATGGTGCCCAACGTTACATCTCACACCATGTCTGCCATTTCACATGGAGAAGAATGGGAGTCTTAAAATCCAGGCCATACAATTCTACCAGGAGCCAGAAGATGTGATGCATCCCAAAACAGGAGAGAAGAGGACCCGAAGACAGGCAGCGTCACTTCGGAAAGTGGGAGAGAGGAGATCTTAGAGACAGGCAGCAATCCTAAAAAAGTATTCAGTCCATTTAAAACTGTAGTACTAGACCAAACTGATGGTGTTCTAAGATAAATCAAAACACAATGTAAAAGGTAAACAGGGAATTCATTGCTTAAGTATTTTTGTCATTTTTTAAAAATTCAGATAATTTTAGAAATTGTAAGACTGTATTAATGGAAGTAATGTTTATGAAGAGGGCAGCACGGTGGCTCAGTGGTTAGCACTGCTGCCTCACAGCAGCAGGGACCCAGGTTCAATTCCACCCTCGGGTGACTGACTGTGTGGAGTTTGCACATTGTCTGCATGGGTTTCCTCTGGGTGCTCCGGTTTCCTCCCACAGTCCAAAGATGTGCAGGGTAGGTGTATTGGCCATGCTAAATTGTCCATAGTGTCCAGGGATGTTTAGGTGGGTTAGACATGGGAAATGCAGGGGTAGGGGAATGGGTCTGGGTGGGATGCTCTTCAAAGGGGTGGTGATGGGCTTGTTGGGCCGAATGGCCTGTTTCTGCACTGTAGGGACTCTATGACTCTAACAGTAATAAAGCTTATTAGACTGGTTGGTGAATATTTCCTTTTTATCTTAACTAGGGCATTTTAATCAGGGTAAGAGGAGTATTCTTAGTTTTTCAATGAATATAAGTACAGCAGTACTAGAGGCAAGAATGAAAATTTAATCAGTTAAATCATTCAATAACTAGATTCTATAAAGATGACAGGGCAGGTGATGTGTGACAGCTGCAGGACAAGTTAACCTCTGCTTGTTGAAATTACTTCAGATGTCTTGGAAAGGTTTCTTGTCCACTATCTCAGTGAGCTATATGAGACAAGCTCAGGTGAAGAATCATGAGATATAACTATTTGATTTCAAATGGGAAAGCACATCAGAAATAACAGACCTTTCTTTTCTCCTTTACATTGTGGATTTTTTTTACGAACAGACCTATTGTAAAATCCAGTGAAATGATTACTTTAGTGTAAAATTTGCATTCCTTTGCCAGGACCAGCCTATCTGGAAGCCTGATAACACTATCAGTAGAGAATTGATAGGGAGCTGGAACTTGGGTTTATTCAATTTTATATATGACAAAGATTTATCCACAATTGTATTTTGATCACACATTTGTTTGGAGCCTGCATATGCAGTCGTGAGCCTCAAATCAACTCCGTGATTTTCATTTGCAAAACATCACTTGCAAACAAAATGCGGATCATTGTACACAGTCAAAATCATAGGTCATTTTATGTTAGGTTAAATTCACAGTATAAACAGAAATAAAGAAGCTAAAACTAACCTTTTTTCTTGTTGAATGGAGCATACACAAAAATAGTAAATATAGTGTCTTTATCATTGATCCTTCTGTAAACCTTTCCATCAACTGAAAATTCCACTTCAAATGTTTTTAAACATCTGCATTAATAAAAAAGAAACATATTAGACACACATTTCTAGTTTCACATTTTAAATGACAAATATTAATTGTTGATGCTTAAGATATTTAAAATAAAATTTTCATTTAAAGACAACATTGGAAAGGGTGTGAGAGAGGATTATGAGAATGGTTCCAGGGATGAGGAACTTCAATCACATAGATAGATGGGAGAAGTTGGGACTGTTTCCTTGGGGATGAGAAGGCAAAGCATCAGGGTTCTGGACAAAGTACACAGGGACAACCCGCTACCGCCATACAAGGTTTGGCAATGAGACGGCACAAATATAAAACAATTTGCAAAAGAAGCAAATATGATGTAAAAAAAAAACTTTCTCACATGGTGAGTAATTAGGGTCTGGAAATCACTCCCTTAAAGTGTGGTAAAGGCAATTGTAAGAGAACACATATTTTCATTTTGGGATGAGAAACTGAAGTGGAAGTTGGACTAATATAAAGCTGAAATACCAGGAAAGTTTTGAAACTTCCAAAGATCAAGTGCTAAACACTTGTAGTAGTACAATGAGATAGCAAGAACTGCAGATGCTGGAGTCAGAGATAACAAAGTGTGGAGCTGGAGGGACACTGTAGGCCAGGCAGCATCAGAGGAACAGGAAAGCTGACGTTTCTGAAGAAGGGTCCTGACCCAAAACCTCAGCTTTCCTCTTCCTCTGATGCTGCCTGGCCTGCTGTGTTCCTCTTGCTCCACACTTTGTTATATCTGTAGCAGTAAAATGTTGTTTTTTGAAGCAGTGAGGGGGTTCCATTGAGACAGAGTGACAACAGGCTTCTTTGAGTTAAGGAAATTCTGCCTGATACCAGTCTTGTGATTGTTTGATTTGCAGTTTGTTATAAAGCTGCAAGTGCAAAAAACATCTCTCTCCACCCACACCCCCAACCTCTCCACATGGGTGAAAAACAGAAAAACCAAAACAGATTTTAAGAGAAATACATCAAACAAGAAAAGACTTACATCCACCAGATCCACTACTGAAGTGAAGCAGGAACACTGTTTTACAGACCACAGTGTGTCATGCAATGCTGAAATCATTAAATAGTGAGACACTATTTAATCCACCCTTGTGATCTGGACTTTTGTTATTTGGAATTTTGTTTTTCCCATGGTTCTTTTTTCCACCCATAATGTGTGTCAAATTGTCTGTCTTTTGTCTGTATTAATCGTCAGCACATGTATGTGCAGATGAGGTTTTTTAAGGAGCATAGTTTAAGTCGTAGGGTTAAAGTTAAATATATTACAATAAATAGTTATTTTTGTTAAGAATGAAAGCTGATAAGTAATTTTGTTGTGAATAGCAGTCAATGAGGCAAACAGGTCACCTGGATGGTCTAAATGGAATTTTATACATTTGTGGCAGCACTAAATCAGAATGCTCATTCTGAGCCATTGCACACATAATGGCTGTAGGACTAGTGGAGCTTAAAAATTAGAAAGGACAAAGTCATGGCATTGTCAAGTCAGCAGTCAATGTCAGTGAGCAAGTCAAGGTTAGCGAGCACTGGGGTCCTGGCTGAGTGTGCATTTGTGTGTGTAAATATATATATATATGTAAAAATAATATGCAATAAACAAATAAATCAATAAAACAACCAATACTAACTTCCAGGCTAATTCAGCTGATGTCTTTCTACTAGATTGTGTGGATACAACTGTAGATTCTCCCACAAGTTTTAAACTAGGCAATTTTCTACATTCTGTTCTCTGAAAAATTTCAAACTAAGATTAAGCCTCACCTGCATTTGATATAGTTATTGAGGTAGTATGTTTTTACTCTGTTTACAAGTCAGGTCTATCTAGCTGTCATTTATATTAGAACTATAGAAATAATACAGAACAGAGGGCCCATTCGGCCCATCTTATCCATGCCACCCTAAAGACACCCAGATGCCTTTTCTAATCCCACTTTCCTGCACACAGCCCATAGCCCTCCACCATGTCAGTCATCTCTAAGCAGGCTGCAAACTACAAGAGGTCTAAACTGCAACAAACTCCCTCAGCAAACATCCAGATAAACTGAAACCAAGGAACATTCCTAAGCACCACCTATCTCTATGAAAATGTTGCCTGTTCTGGGATGTCCTCAACTAATCTTTAGGTTAATTATTCCTCATTTATGATTTCTTCGTTGATCAGAGGAAAGAAATGGGCTTTACAACCTTTCATGGTTTACTAGCTGCTTTTAAACTAATTTAGCTCTAACTTGCGAAACAAAACCATCACTCTGAAATGCCATTATTGCAAACATTAGAAATATCTTGTCTCCAGCTTTTTAGCTAGTTAAGCCCATCTGCTATTTTGTAGCTCTATCCTTCCATTCTGACTCAATTAAACAAACATGGGTTATCTTTTGAACTTCTTTTTCTTAAGGTATTCTAGCAATTTCTAAAACTCAAATTTTTATTTAGCTTATCTTTCTAGATGTTAATCTTTTAGGTTAGCAGGGCAGCATCCTTTTAACTGTAACACATTCCGAACTTGCTTCAATTGTATTTATCCATTTTTTACTGTCTAACATTAATTGTTAAAACTTAAAACTGTACTCTAAAATATATGTACCATAAACTAATATACCATTGTACGTAATAATATGTGCTGCAGGGTTTGGGATGAGCTCAAATTCATGAAGGATGGACAACTGAAAGTCATCTAAGACAGTGCTGGAATAGTCAAATAATAACACTTTCATAGATCAGGGTTTCTGCCGATGTGCTGATGCAGAGCAGAGAGGGTCAATATTACAGAGGTGGAAGTTGTTGTCATGCTAATAAAAAGGATATTGTGTTTAAGCTCATCTCAGGGCTTTTTCTGAAGTCTTTAGTGATTAATTGCAGATTTTGCTGTGCATGTTCTGGTCAGCTTTCACATACACACACACGCCAGACAAATTTGCAGCCTTTAAAGGAAATATTAAAAATACATTTTATTTACTTACTGTGCAGTCAGGTGGAGAAGTGGTGCGTGTTTTAGCTCCACAATAATTTGCAGGCTGCTGTACCCCTCTTCATTTCATCCTCTCAGAGAACTCTGTATACTGACATGTCTGGCATTGAATAGCTTGGCCTTCATACTTCCTAAACTCAAGCTGCATTCAGTTCCTTCAACTTGCTAGTGATAAATGAGGGCAGCATAGCCACATTAGGTGCATGCAGCATTTGCACCAATTTCCCACCCTGATTCAAAATCTATCTCCTTCATGCTGTATTGATTAAGAATCAAAAGTCATAAAGTTTCTTGATTCCTATTCAAAAGTGTAAATGGGAACAGATATTCAGCATCAGGCTGCTCAACATTGATTCAATTCTAAATCTTGAGAATTAATTACTATACAGTACTTATATTATGGTCCCTAGGCACATTTCTCATTAAGTGGCCAAGAAGTTTGGAGCAGCAATTTGCCACTTCTCTGTGGCAGGAATGGTGACAGGGAGTGATGCAGCCATCTCAAGCCAAAGATTGAATTATTCCTATGGATAGAACTGACAACTACTTTCATAATGGTAACTGACTCTTCTAGCTATCAGAAAATGGCGTGCAGCATGCATGTCTTATATACGGATGTGTTGTACTTTGTATGGGAGTGGATGAAATGTAAGGGATTTCTGGCTTGTAATGTCATCCCGTCAATTCTGCCTGATCTTTTGATATCGGCAAATGGATGGGGATGGGTAGGTGCAACAAGTGTCATTTTCAAAATTATTAGAACCATTGTAGTTCCAACAAGTGGAATTGTTGCAGAAAAGAATTTTGGCAGAACCCAAGTCCAACCCAAATTCCAATAGCTGTGCCATTTATAACACTGCAGTACCTTTAACTAACTAGGACATTTGGGGCTAAAATGTCATCCAAATATCAAAATATAGCATACATGTTTAGAGAATGTACTTGACCAATTTGCAGCTTGACATGGTTCACACAAAACCAATAAGTAGTTTGAAAGAAGAGCATAGGATAATGAACCAAACACAGTGGCACGTGTATCTAAAATTGAGGTTCCAACCAAGTGAAGCTAGAATGCAGGACTAAAAACCTAATATCCAACATGTTAAACAGTAGGCTATAGACAGAACTATGTGATTCCACAATCAATCAATGCGTCATATCAAAGCTCTGCAGGCTTGCTACATCCAGCTACATGAAAGGTGATAGGCAATTAAAGAAGTAACCACAGCAAGAGGCTTCATGAATGTTTCCATCCTCAAAGATGGGGAAGTGAGTGCATGAGTGAAAAGGACAAAAACTGCAATCATTTTCAGCCTGAATTGCCAAGCAGATGATGATTCTCAGCCACCTCCTGAGATCTCCACCATCACTGGTTCATTCATGCTATCGTGAAACTACAGACTGCATTTACCATGGCAAAGACCCCTATAATACTCTGTGGCTGTAATGTTGAAGACTTTGACTCCAAAACTAACCGTTGTGGTACAGCCACAAAATTAGCATCAATTCCATAAATTAGGAAAATGCCCAGGTAGGGCATGTCCAGACCAAACAAAAAAATCCATGGCTTTAACAACCCTATTTGAATACTTGTGATCATCAGCAAAGTAATGGAAGGGACTGTCAACAGTGTTATCAAGCAGAATGTACTCGGCAATGACCTCCTCGCTGATGTTCAATTTGGATTCTGCCAGGACTGCTTTGTTTCAGACCCCATTACAACATATCTTCAAACCTGAACTAAACAGCTGAATTCCAGACGTTAGATGACAGTGAGTGACTGCTATTGACATCCAGACACCATTTGACTTGAGTATGAGATCAAGACGTATCTTGAGGAGCATGAACCATTAACAACCCACAATGAACATGAAAGCCAGGAAGTAAAAGTGGATTGTCAATAGTTTACTCAGAAGAGAATAAAGACAGGTCTTCTTAATTAGATAATGAACTTGGAAAAGGCATGCAAGGAACATCATAAAGAAAGTAGAGAAAGACACAGGTTCAGTGTTAGGACAGGGAGAGCCTTATTGAAAGTTTAGCTCGGTGGGACAGGGAATTTGAGGATGTGCCAGAGCTGGCTGATCAAATGGTGTCAAATCTTAGTGTTGAAGAAATCCATGAACTCCTCACGTGTTGGAGGTGAGGTTGGGGGTAGAAAGGTTTCATATGGCAGTTTATAGGAAAGAAAAGATTACATTTATAACACAGTATGAGTCTGAAATGATAAGCAATTTTCGCAGATGAGGAAGTGGCCAAATATTGCTTTGTGTATCCTGTTAGATTTGGCTGGTCTGCAAGAACAGAAGGAAGATTTTTAGGGTTGTTTTTCCAGTTGTTTTACTTCAACCCCTTCTGTCTTGATCTGTGGGAGTCAGAATTCTCATTCTTTTATTTATTAAATCAAGGATCCTACGGCTTCTAATCAGTCTTTTAAAATTCTGCCACCTTCAAAGATTTGTGCGGATGCATCCACTGCACTCTGCTTTCCTGCACCCCCTTTAAAATTGTTCCATTTAGTTTATATTGCATCTACTTGGTCTTTCTGTCAAAGCTAACCATGTTATAGCATGGTGTTAAATTTCATCTGCCATGCTGCTGTCAATTCCACTAGTCTATTCCGTCTGGAAGTCTGTTCTATACACCTTGCGGATTACAATTGCGATACCCGTGTGCTTTTGAGAAACAAAACCTATGTTTTATGTTGTGGTGATGGTCCCTTCAAGAGATTTCTCTAGCAGATTATCTCTTATTAGGAGAAAAATCAACAGGCTATATAGAATTGACCATGTGCCAATGTGCCTAGGAGATAAGCAACAGGAAAAGGATCAACAAGAAGGCAGTTATATTGGTTGTCTTGTAAGCAATTTAGTTTGGAACAATCTGACAGCAGGATGCATATCGTTCAAACAGGATTCAGTTAAAATTCTGTGCGTTGTCTATGAGAGTTTAAATTGCTTGATAATTAAAGGATTCAACTCACAATGAGTTGGGACATCTGAAATAACAAAGCTGAGGAGAGAGTTTCTGGATGCAAGAATCCATATTTAAAAACGTTAGAACCAGAAATCTCTTATTCGAGGTGGCCGGACTTAAGACACTGGTGACATCTATGTTGAGTGGGATTTTATAAATGTTGGCTGGTAAGAGTAGATTTGAAGGGACTACCATACTGAAAGTAAGTGGGAGACCCAAGAAATCTCAACCCAAAAATTGAAAAGTACTTAACCAAGTGGTCAATCTTTTAATTTATGATATGTCAGCTTTTTGGTGGTGTTAAGATAAATGGTTCAGAAGGAAATTTGAATTAAATTTAATTTGGGTATATGTAACCATACATCATGCTCCTAATAGCTTTAATGTAACTCACAAGTTAAGAGATAGATTACAGTTATTAAATTCTTGTTTTTTGACCTTAATATAGAGAAATACTTTTGTTTTAAACAGTGAAAGCTGTGGTTGCATTCTTTTAGAAAATACCTGGGTTTTCATTGTTCCAAAAATACTAGGCATACCAAGATCATAACACTATATTTCTCAGTTTTGCGCCATCTGCAAACTGAACATAACATTATCAATATATCTCAAAAAGAAGTCCCAACGTTGGCCCCTTTGCGAAACATGGTATTCTATTTCACAGTCTGAAAACACCTGCTTACCTCTACTCCACTTTCTGTTCTTCAAACAATTTCACTTTCATGCAACCATTGTCTCTTTAATTCCAAAGGCTTCATTTTGTCTAACATTGTGCCTGTGTTGCTGTTTGATAATTGTAATTATCAAGTACTTACTTTGAGTTGACATAATTATCATCCCATGTAACAGCCACCTGTCCCAGTATCAGAGGTATAAAGCTCACACCGCGAGTCTGTGAAGAGATCGAATAATCTGTTAAAAATACTAGGTTACACACTTTATTTCTTAGGTAACATGTAAAGTATTCAAACACTCGGTTGAACTATGTAGAATCACAAAGGATTGCCAACAAGTTAACAGCCTAACAAGTTGTGTTAGACCCACAGATTTTTTTCCAAACTAAAACTGGAGATTTGAACAATGCCTGGGTTGCAGAGTTTGCCGTGTGACTTTTTTTTGGAACTCAAACATCAAAAGTGGAATTTGTGTTGTGCTTTACCTAGTTTTTACATAAGGTCACGTGAAAAGAGGGTTGTTTAGAAACAGGTAACATGGACTTGTTACTATGACTAGATAAACTGGTGAAAGGAGCCTTGGCCTACAGGTTGCATAGTGACAGCTTTTGGATTGTTCGTTTCTGTTTAGCTTAAACTTGGGAGTTGTGAAGTTGAAGAGTGAACTCCAAAAAGCGTGCAAGAAATACAAGTCTCTGTCTCTCCAAGAAAAAAAAATGCTCTTAGGAGTTGTGGAGTGGTTTTGAAAAGAAGCATTGCTCTTTCTATCCAACTCTCTCTCTCTGAATAATAAATGCTCAACGACACTGAAAGTTGAACTGCTAATAAATAAATGTTTTTGTGTTTTCCAGTTAAAACTGATGGGCATACCTTAATGTCCTTGTCAACAGCAAATCAAAGCAAATTAGGCATTTTAGTGAGTCAATTGAATATCTACACTTTTGGGATGCTTTATTGCATAGCGGGACTTGATAATCAATGCATTCCTACCATCAGAAATGTAAAGTTCTAACAAAAGCATTATAAACCCCACCTCCAACATACGCTAGTTGGAGAATGGTGAAAACCCTATCTCACTTCTATCCAGGTGGCTTGTTGCAACTTAAAATGTAATCTGACATTTAACAGGCCAGGATCCCCACTTCATGCCTATTCTGGTGAGTGCCACGAAATTCAGCCTACTAACTTTAGGGACTATTCAGACACGTTGTTCTGTTATGTAAACAAGGAGAAGACAAGCAAAAAAGTTGGATACAACTTTTGACCCAGGATTTGGACACCTAATATAAATAGTGCAGAATCATGTCACTACCTGGGTGCACTTTAAATGCCTGGTTCCTGGGTGGAAATTAGGCTACTTTTGCTCTCAAACCCCCAGGGTTTTGGACTCTTGTTTCTATATTATCAAATTGTTATTCTAAGTAATGTAGCATTCAAAAAAGTTTCATAATGATGTCAAAAATGTGCAAACATTATGTTTCTACATTAAAAATTTGAATATCACCTCTTATTTACTTTATAACCTGCAAACAATACAAATGCTGATCTTAAACCATTGATTCATTTTCATTGCAAATCTGCACTGCATTTTGGTTCAATTCAATTGTCATCATTTATCTTTTCAGCAATTTATTTACTGATCATACACAAAATGATTACGTCCTTATGATTTCCAACTATGTAGCAAGCTCTTTGACCATTTTAATCTAACAAGAATTAATAAAATTCAAATTCTAACCTGGTTTGGAGGTCTTTCAGGCTTTGCACAGATGTGCAACAGATATACAGAGGGAATAGGAAGTTTCAGTTTCAGAATGATATGGCCTTCTGGAGGAAATGGCATTGGTCCCTTAACCACAGGATCCTAATTAAAACAAAATCAAAGTACCTCAAAACACTGAATTGCATGTTTGGAATAATATATTGGTGTGGACATGATGAAGGTTGCCAAAAAGTGTCCCAAATATAAAAATAATAGCTATGTAAGGATGGTAATAAAGACTTTATGTCATATAGAACTTTAGTAAACTAGTACTGTTGAATTTTCATCAAAACAGATTTTCATCATGTTTCCAGCATTTTCTAAAAAAACTGAAAGAACTGCGATAACAAGGTGTAGAGCTGGATGAACACAGCAGGCCAAGCAGCATCAGAGGAGCAGGAAAGCTGATGTTTCGAGTCTGGACCCTTCTGCAGAAATGGGGGAGGGGAAGGGGATTCTGAAATAAATAGGGAGAGAGGGGGAGGCGGATGGAAGATGGATAAAGGAGAAGATAGGTGGGGAGGAGACAGACGGGTCAAAGAGGC